AACTCTTCTCGTACCCCTGGATGAAGGCGTTCCACACTTTGGGAACCACTGTTCTACGGTATGAGTAACACATTTTTTTCCACCCTTTTTCTTTTTATTTAGTTGGCAATGTTTGTTTTTATGGGAATTGTAAGAATTTTTGTGATCCGGCCTTCGCTGTGTGTGGACAACCAGATATGATACAAGGATCCATATCAGCATTTTTGCCGTCTAGAAGCTTCCACTCAGCCAGTGCTATTCTACACCATCCTTGGTCAAGAAGCTATAATATGAAACTCAAAGTAGGTTGATGAATTTACTTGGATGCGTAGGACATTATTGTATTTGTTTGATAAGTAAACGATACATTGATATTGCTATTATGTTCCTACAGCAAAGTTGGGAAACTAATGAAGAGTACTGTGAGACCAGTGTTAAAGGGCAGTCCGAGTTTAAAGGTCGCCGACTTCTCGATTTTATGGACACCTCAGTTTTCGACTTTCTGATAGGTTAGTAAATCTGTTTGTCAATGAGAGTAGAAATTTATCAGCGGCGTTCTGTCGAGATACTTCAACCACTACAAATATAGAATTTGAACAAGGAGAAGAAAAAAAAATACTTTATTTAAAACAAAGCTTATCTAAGGGAAAGAAGTGCTAATTACTACCATTTATCTGAAAATGGCAGTATTTAGTTTAATTAGTATTAAGTGATTAATTAATTGGTTATTTTTTTGATTGATTCGTATATTGTCATCGACTTTGAATAATTATGCAAAGTTTTAACTTGATCCCACAATGGGAGGAGGAGAAAAAATGTGTCAAAACGTAATAAGGGAATTAAATCTATATATATATACACACATCTGTTATTAAGCAGTAGTTATTCCCCTTTTTTCAAAATCAACCTAAATAGCTAGAAACCAATTAATAATTAACTAATTGTTTTTTTTTATTGATTTATGTCTTGTCAGGTACAATGTATAATTGTGCAAAGTTTGATCCGAGAATGGGAAATCGGAAAAAAAATATGTTCAAACTCTTTACCAGACAGATAGACAGACAGAGAGACAGACGGACTGAGAGAGTTGATATAAGCTTTCTAACAATGATCTCAGTATCTATAGCAGTGATGCTCAAAATACGGCCTGGGGCCACATCGACCGGGTTTAATTCGGGCGCGTAAAAAATATACTTCAGATAGGTCATTAATTAATGAAAGTAGGCCTACTAGATCCAAGGGCTTCTTATAGGCCAAGTTTCAGGCTAATTTCATTTCGTTTTTATATCTTTTCATTAATTTGGCCCGCGACATGAGTGTCGGAAATTAAAATGGTCCACAGGTCGAATTAGGTTGGGCATCACGGATCTATAGCATATGTCATCAAGTTTTATGGTTCCCATTAAATAGTTCCTGTATAGACCTAAATGTACAACGACCCACTCAGAGACGACCTATCGGGGTGGCGAGTGGGGCATCAGATTTAAAATTGATTTAATCACGCCACTATATTTATTGACTGATTACTTCTTATATTTAGTTTAATTCAAAGTATGACCATGTATTACACAGACCCATGGGCATACCCAGGATTTCTTTTCGGGGGGGGGGGATTTTTTCTCCTTCCCCCCCCGCCCCCCACCCCCACCCTCGAGAAAAAAAAATTAATAGTATGTATGTGTGTGTGAGTACATGATCTTTATTACATTCTGACCCTTCATTCTTTCGAAAGATGTTTATTATGCCCTATAATGTTTCTTCTTGGAGTTAGTGGAAAAATTGTAGACTCCCCGCTATTGGCTGCAATGGGGTCTGGGAGTGCGCCTGGAGCTCCCCCAGCGCTGGGCGAACAAAATAAATGTTCTGAGGTATCTACAGAGACGCTCTGTCACAACCTTACTAAGGGGTCGACTCCCAATTCGGCATAGGATTTCCTTGATTTAGACCCGATCTCTATAACTGACTCCTAAAATCTATCTTAGCCTACTTTGTTGAGCCACATTTAGTGTTTTTCAATTTCGACTGATGACTGATGACTTTTCAATGCACTTTATTAATGGAGCCCCCCACTGGTAGAAATGTGTAACCTCTCTTGAATACGCTCTTGGAATTAGGTGACTGTAGTTTGCTTTAGATTTTATATCGAAAAGGGAAGTTTTATCGTCAAAATCACCTGTTGTGGATTTTAAACCAAAAAATCTATTTTTTTAAATTCAAAACCCCATTTAGCTACGGTCATATTATTTGGTAACTGTAGTTTGCTTTAGAATTATTTTTTTTAACTCAAAATCATCCAGAGGGGTTTTAAACTTTTTAGAAAAGCAAACTGTAGGAGAGGGGTTTAAACTCAAAACCCCCAATTGGCTTGCCTACGCTCAAATAATTTTTGTGTGTAATTTGCTTTTTTTAAATTAAAGAGGTATTTTTTTAGCATAAAATCCCGCTGTAAGGGGTTTAAACTCAAACCCCCTTTTGGCAACTCTCATAGCATTTTGAGTGCGTTTTTTATATTGCAGAGTTATTTTTTTAGCTTCAAACTCCACTGGAGGGGAGTTTAAACTCAAAACACCTTGACTACACTTATAGAATTTTGAGTGTATAATTTGCTTTGTTTTTTAATATTAAAGAGGTATTTTATACCTTTAAACCCCGCTAAAAGGGGTTTAAACTCAAAACTGAGTCGAAACCCATTTACCTACGCTCATAACAATTTGCTTTTTTTTATATTGAAGAGGTGTTTTTAGCTTCAAACCCTACTGAAGAGGAGGGGGGGGGGGGGTTCAACTCAAAACCCTTAGTCTACGCTCATAGAATTATGAGTATGTAATTGGCTTCTTTTTATATTGACTAGGGGGCTTATAAAATCACAATCTTCCTGACACTGTGGAAGTAGGGGGAGAGTCGTTTACTTTTTGTTGTTGTTTTGTAATTAGAAGAGAGGGATTTAACTGCAAAAAAACCCTGGTAGGGGGTTTTAAACTCAGAACCCCCTGATAGGGGTTTTAAACTCAGAACCCCCTGATAGGGGTTTTAAACTCAGAACCCCCTGATAGGGGTTTTAAACTCAGAACCCCCTGATAGGGGTTTTAAACTCAGAACCCCCTGATAGGGGTTTTAAACTCAAACCCCCCTGGTAGGGGGTTTTAAACTCAAAACCCCTTTGCTGCGCTGGGGCAAGTGATGGTATAGTATTAAAATGTCACCCAAAATAAATAAAATCAAAGCAAAAAATCAATTACTGAATTCCGATCCCCCCCTTCGGGGGGGATTTCATTTCGAGGGGGGGTTGAACCTCAAAACCCCTCCTGGCTACGCCCATGCTGTGACAGACCTATTTATTTATTACATATAACAATACAATGTTTATGTTTCTTGCCTACTAGGTAACATGGACCGTCATAATGTGGAATTCTTCTCACAGTTTGGTGCTGACACATTTCTACTTCATTACGACCATGGGCGCGGGTATAAAGACACTTCACTCCTTCTTAGTTAATGCATTGTTAATTATTAGTTCAGTTCTTGTATTTGAAAGCCTGTATTGAAAATTAGCGTGGATGGCTGAGTGGTACAGCGTTTGGCTTCCGAGCCGATGGGCATCGGGTTCGAATATCGGTGATGACTGGCGATTTTGAATTTCTTAATTTTTAGAACGCCCCCGCGTCTACCCAACTCTAATGGGTACCTGACATTATTTTATGGAAATTAAAGACGTTTGGAGCTGTGCTGGCCATATGGCAAAGTCATTCACCGTCGGCTATAGGAACATGTCTTCCCAAATCTCAAGGTCTGAAAAGGGTACTTAACTTTACTATATCGAAAATCAATATAATAATAAAAATAGAAAATCCTTTTCCTCAAATATGTGTGTGTAAATAATTGTACTTTTACTTTTGCTTATTATCAGTTGCAAACAAATGACAATGTCTATTGAAATAATAGTGCCAAGATCAGAATATACTTTTTGACTATTAATTTTAATAGGAAATATACGCATATAGCAGGTTCAGTTTAGTTAAAATGGACTTCTGGCTGAGAAGAGTAGTGTCCTGTGGATCTCAGTTTGAGATCTTCAACAATATGTAATTCCAAATGTAACTTGTCTGTGTTTGCCGAGTTTCCTTTTGATCAAGATATATATATATATTTAGATATAGAGTCAAGATGTGTAGATACTATTATAGTAGATGTAGATCTAGTATTATAGGAATGAATTCAAGGGCTTATTGAAACCCTCTCTTACTTTAGCAAACTGTACACAAAAGAGATAGGATAAAAGAAAGTACCGTTAAGTCTCCTTTCAGGCCTTGCGATCTATGGGGCAGATGATGTAAAGGCCATCTGTTTCTTTGGCCCACGGTTAAGGAGGATGTCATGTGGCCAGCACAACTTTTCCACAACTAGAGCAGGTACCCATTAGAGATGGATCCCGAAAGTAAAATTCTCAGTCTTCTCCAGGATTCGAACCCGGAAACCTCTGGTTCAGAAGCTAAGTGCTTTACCACTCGCCCACAATATTTATATTAGGCATGGAACTTTCAATTGCTAAATAACGGAACAATGCTAACTATCTATATTGTATATGTAGAGCTAGCTATATGAACTTTCAATAGCTAAATAACGGAACAATGCTATCTATATTGTATATGTAGAGCTACTAGCTCTATGACAGAGCAACTTTTACTTGTTTTTCTCAGGTTTGGTAAATCTCAATACGACTGCATGTCTTGTCTAGCTCCCGTGCGTCAATGTTGTTTGATTCGTCTGTCCACTCTGGCTAAGCTGATCAAACTTTACATTGGACCGGACAGTCTACGTCACGTGCTTCAAGAGTCGCTAAAGGCTGACCCATTGGCTCCCATACTCAGGGAACGTCACCTGGACGCACTAGATCGTCGTGTTGGTTTAATTATCAAAGTCATCAGTGACTGTATCACCAGGAAAAGAAAACTTTGGCAAGAGGTTATCGTTAATGATGGAGTTATTTAAATATTGACACAAATGTTTTAAAGAAAACTTTGACAGAAATTGTAAGCAGAGGCTTGAGCTGGGAAAACAGAAACAGAACTTAGAGACTTAGAGACTTAAGATGGGAAAACACGAACAGAACTTGTACACAGTGGCTTGAGATTGGAAAACACGAACAGAACTTGTACGCAGTGGCTTGAGATGGGAAAACAGGAACAGAACTTGTAAGTAGAGACTTAAGATGGGAAAAACAGGAACAGAACTTGTACACAGTGGCTTGACATTGAGATCGGCATCAAGCAAAAACAATTTTTCGTCGCAAAAATAAAAGGAACAACTAAATTGGCTGTTTCTAGGGCAATACGTGGATGAAACTAGGTGTACGTTTCTAAATGCAAGGGTAGTATTTCAGTTGGAACCGATTTAAATACAGAGGAATAAAGTATTATTGCCTACTGATAAAAAATAACCAGTGTATTATTACATTTATGTTAATTTTGTTTCATGTCATTTTAAATTTGTTTAATTTCTTGTTAATTATGTCTAATGTCAAGAAAATATTGATAAGTTCAATGTGCCTTCTTGATAAAATTAAAATCTACTTACTTTGGGCTGAAAATTTCCATCAACTTTTTAAGTTAAAAAAAATAGAGAGCGGGAAATGTATACATTTAGTTCAATTTGTGAGACAAAAAAAAATATAGCAGTAAAATTTACTTCTTCTTTGGTAAGGTTAAGTTAATTATATATATGGTTAATTACCACTAAGTTCCGACACAGACATGTCGCTAAGATGGACTAGATGGCATAAAAAGTTGGAAACACTGTCTAATGTCGTAAAACCTTAAAATGACTGTTTGATGGGATCAAACCTTATAATGACTGACTGATGACATCAAACCTTAGAATGACTGACTGATGACATCAAACCTTAGAATGACTGACTGATGACATCAAACCTTAGAATAACTGACTGATGACATCAAACCTTATAATGACTGACTGATGACATCAAACCTTAGAATGACTGACTGATGACATCAAACCTTAGAATAACTGATTGATGACATCAAACCTTAGAATGACTGACCGATGACATCGAACCTTAGAATAACTGACTGATGACATTGAACTTTAGAATGACTGACTGATGACATCAAACCTTAAAATGACTGATGACATCAAATTTTAGAATGACTGATGACATCAAACCTTAAAATGACTGATGACATCAAAACTTAGAATGACTGATGACATCAAGCCTTAGAATGACTGATGACATCGAACCTTTGAATGTCTGATGACAGCAAACCTTAGTAAAGCTGATGACATCAAACCTTAGAAAGGCTGATGACATCAAACCTTAGAAAGGCTGATGACATCAAACCTTAGCCTGACTGATGACATGAAAGCTTAGATTTCCTGGCTGATGACATTAAACCTTAGAATGACTGATGACATCAAATTATAGAATGCCCTGACAAGAAAAACGAGCGTAAAAAATATTACAAAGATAGTTTGTGTGGATACACAAATTCAAAATCGGCCCTCGAAGTGGACCACTCAGGCAGGTGAAAATGCAAGTTAAAATATTTTCATCATAAATATCAGAAGCTATGAACTACAAACTATCAACAACCACAGCCTTATATCAGCCAATGCAAAATGAAGAGACATGTACGACTGTACGTATTGAAAGTGTTGACAATACTATTGTTTTGTTAGGCCGACTGACGACATGATACAACTGTCTGTCCGTCCGTCCGTCCGTCCCGTTTAGATATCAGAAACTAGAAAAGATATTGAAAATCCTATATCATGATATCCTAGATCTTTCAAATTTCCAGTGCAAAGGCATCTTAATCACTTTGACTGTGACGTTTACTTTGTTGTTTCAAGTAAATGAGTTAGAAGCGATTATCTTCTCAAAGTTAGAAGCAATCTACACGTAATGCTATCCTGGCAACCTTTGCGTACCTCTAGAAATCGCACAAAAAGGCAAGCCATTTACAGATGAGTATGTCAAAGTCTGCTTCCTAAGTGCATCTGAAGAACTGTTTCGTGATTTAAAAAAACAAACCAGAAATCTTGAAAAAAAAAATCAAACATCCGCTAAAACAGTATAAGATTGAATAGCTAAAATGACTTCAAATGTAAAATATTTGCAGCGGAAGATATTCAACTTTCTTCTGTCTTATCAGTTGCTATAGATTAGTCTTGCGACATAAAGACACGGCACAAGTTGCCCATTTTGCCAGGTATATGTCTTCCCTAGGATTGCTACAACCATATCCTCTTTGGATGCCCCTTCCAATCCACCTTAGGCAGACCCTACTACCACTACAGTCCAACATAACCAACACCCTGTACGGCAGTGCTGAACAACTGAAGAAAACAGCACACTCATTTGGGTGACCTCTAAGTGGGGGCCCGGTGAGAATCAAATTTTTCCCCTCCCTCCCCCACCCTAGCTACGCCACTGTCTCCAGCAAAGTTTTTACATTGGTGATGATATTCTGGATTGTCTGAAACTATTTCAGACTCGATTCCGATTAAAAGTATTAGGACAATGGAACTATGGAAGATTATGTCCACTGAAACTCTTGCTCATGAGTCACGTGACAACATGGCAATGTATTGTGTATTATGGTACTGAAAGTAGGAATAAGTAGTTGAGAAAAAAAACAGATAATTATTTATCTACACAATTATATCTGCTATTATACCCACCACAAACGAAGGAAAAGTTGAAAGGTAGCGGGAAAGGGGAAATAATACTATTTCTTCTTTTATACATATATATATATATATATATATATATATATATATATATGTATTTATATGATACTATTACTTTATATGGAGAACAGTGCAATGGCATTTAAATAAAAAATTAAAATTATGAGTCTTCAGAAGTAAAATGAGTGTGTGTTAAGTCCAATTTTGTCCGAATTTTAAGATGCCAAAAATAATAATGCATTAAAATACTCTGAATAGCTAGAGAGATTCTAAATATAATTAAATGGCCAGGTTCTGTGTAAGGTAGGTAACTGCAGCTTACTTACCAGCTGTTCTGTTTTGATTGTCTCCCTGCACAACTGCACTTATGTATAGTATCACCATCACCACTATAAGTATAACTGAGTATAACATATAAAATATATACCACCATTTAATATCTTTCTCTTGCCCAAGAATGTAGATTGATAAAAATATTTGAAAATAAGAAGATATTGGATCAAAACAATAACTAGCAAAGAGTAACTTTGTTTCAAATGGCGCAAGCCCTAAATCTTACGCACTGTCCCTCCATTAAGCTTATGGATTCACAATGTAATAGTTCAGAGGCAGTGGCGTAGCATTCATGGACCCAAGACCATGCAAGGTGCAAAGGGATTCATTGCACTTAGGCCCATGACTAACGACCAACTGGCGCCCATATAATCCCTAGGAATGACACCAAAGAAAGGGAAAAAAATGTGATTTCAAAAATGCCAAATATTATACCGAAAACGTAGCCCGTGTTTTCAGTCCTAGTCTGTGTACCAGCGACTTGGACTGCTTTAATGTTAGGAACTGCTTTCATCAGGTCTGTTGTAATGATGGCTAGAGTCCTAATCACTGCTTTAATGTTAGGAACTGCTTTCATCAGGTCTGTTGTAATGATGGCTAGAGTCCTAATCACTGCTTTAATGTTAGGAACTGCTTTCATCAGGTCTGTTGTAATGATGGCTAGAGTCCTAATCACTGCTTTAATGTTAGGAACTGCTTTCATCAGGTCTGTTGTAATGATGGCTAGAGTCCTAATCACTGCTTTAATGTTAGGAACTGCTTTCATCAGGTCTGTTGTAATGATGGCTAGAGTCCTAATCACTGCTTTAATGTTAGGAACTGCTTTCATCAGGTCTGTTGTAATGATGGCTAGAGTCCTAATCACTGCTTTAATGTTAGGAACTGCTTTCATCAGGTCTGTTGTAATGATGGCTAGAGTCCTAATCACTGCTTTAATGTTAGGAACTGCTTTCATCAGGTCTGTTGTAATGATGGCTAGAGTCCTAATCACTGCTTTAATGTTAGGAACTGCTTTCATCAGGTCTGTTGTAATGATGGCTAGAGTCCTAATCACTGCTTTAATGTTAGGAACTGCTTTCATCAGGTCTGTTGTAATGATGGCTAGAGTCCTAATCACTGCTTTAATGTTAGGAACTGCTTTCATCAGGTCTGTTGTAATGATGGCTAGAGTCCTAATCACTGCTTTAATGTTAGGAACTGCTTTCATCAGGTCTGTTGTAATGATGGCTAGAGTCCTAATCACTGCTTTAATGTTAGGAACTGCTTTCATCAGGTCTGTTGTAATGATGGCTAGAGTCCTAATCACTGCTTTAATGTTAGGAACTGCTTTCATCAGGTCTGTTGTAATGATGGCTAGAGTCCTAATCACTGCTTTAATGTTAGGAACTGCTTTCATCAGGTCTGTTGTAATGATGGCTAGAGTCCTAATCACTGCTTTAATGTTAGGAACTGCTTTCATCAGGTCTGTTGTAATGATGGCTAGAGTCCTAATCACTGCTTTAATGTTAGGAACTGCTTTCATCAGGTCTGTTGTAATGATGGCTAGAGTCCTAATCACTGCTTTAATGTTAGGAACTGCTTTCATCAGGTCTGTTGTAATGATGGCTAGAGTCCTAATCACTGCTTTAATGTTAGGAACTGCTTTCATCAGGTCTGTTGTAATGATGGCTAGAGTCCTAATCACACTGTGCGTTGGCAGGGACGTTTGTTTCTTCTACTGTACGTAAATAAAACCATTGAAAGGATTGCATATTTGTGAGAACTAGAAGTTGGCAGAATTGCATGAACACTTACCCCAAGTAATAAAAAAATCACCGTATTCATAAAATAAATGCAAGGTCAAGGTTATGATGGTGCCTCTAATATGAGTGGACAGTGCCATAGCGATCACTCAACACTTTAACTTAAATACATAGGCCTACGCATCACATTCAGACATTTAATGTACTAAAGATGCTATAGTCCCCAAAGAACTCCTGGAAGCTGCAGCACTTCAGGGAAACTTAGAAACATTCGATACTCTTGTTCTGCGTACTGTCCAGTACAAAATTGTAAGCGCAACCAACGTTGTGACCAAAATGAGTAGCAAGATCTACATTAAGCTATGCATCAACTGGAGAAGATCTATAATCAAGTAAGTCATTTGAGAAATGGCTTTGGTGAGTGTAAAAATGAGGCTTCTGAAGTAACTGGATCTTGGAATGTTAAAAAGATAATTTAATGAGCCTTCCGCTGACTACAGTAAAGAAATAATTCAAGATGCAGAGACTTTCAAAACTTGACCGACTTATCGATGTCATTGTTTCTCAGTTACTTGACAGATTGTATAGGCATAGTCGTTATTGCTCAGGTTTCATTGCCAGTGTAAACGACAAAGAATTAAATAATGCCAACATGCTTC